ATTTGAGCCAATCAGGTAATTGTTGGAACTTCCAAACTCCAAGCTGTAGCTAGATCACAATCCAAAAATGAAATGTGTGATATATGAGCATGTTTGTTTTGCGATATTAAATTCTGCACGTGGCACCAAAAAAGAGGTTATTGAAGTGAAAAAAAGTATAATAAATGGCCAGAGGACAATCACTAAATGTTAATTTTATTCACAGATCAAATGAGAGGTAACCAGTAGAGGGAAAAAGTGTATATATATATATATATATATATATATATATATATATATATAGAAAGGCGTAGCCTGGAATTGTGGGAGGGGTTACCCGGCTATAAGAGCTCAGGCCCCGCCAAATCAGCACTGGAATCGCTGGGTTCATTCAGAACCTTTGAACTTCTGGTTCAAAACTCACCGGGACATCGCTCCCACGTGGTCCGCTCCAGTCTAAGTGCTCCCTGCTAACCGTGTTCGGTACAATCCCGGCGGTCTCCGTGCCCGGCATCAAGCGCTCCAGCCCGGCTTACTACCGGGTTTCCGGCGAACTCCCATCCTCCTCAGCCATACCCACGGCGGTTTCAGTACCCGGAAACATACTTACCTACTCCAGGGTCCCAGAACCATGAGTTTCATCCACACCACTCTCAGCCAGACGCCTGGCGTCCATTCATACTTTACACACCTGTTCACACACTTTCATTCATACTTACCTTACCGCTCCGGGCTTCGTTCGGTACCGCACTCCACACAGGCACATTCTCCACCCTGGCACTTACCCTCCAACGCTGGTCAGTAAACTGGCCACCCGGCTAAACTTACAATTTATTTCTATACTGACACTACGTATGGCTGCTCACGACACCCCCTGGTGGGGAAAAAAAATATACATATGCACTTGGAAATGTTATGTGTTTCTGTTTTCTGTTACACATCGGCTGCTCAGAACGACCTCTGATGGCAAAACATATTGTTACACAATGTTAATGCATTTACATTGTATGTGCATTTAAAATGGTGTCTGAGCCTATTTCCCTCGCTTTTTTCCTTTCTCCCTTTGCGCCTGTCATAAAAAAAAAAAAAAAAATTTTAAAACGACAATACTCTTACTATACCATAAAATCTGTCACTCATGTTTTATTTTCCCACATTACCTATGCCTATATACGTTACCTGTCACCTATATAGGTATTTTCTAAAACCTTACCCAGACTAACGGCAACACCTGAACCGCCTCAGACATATACCTGTCAAAGACACACTCCGTCTTTGCTCATACGGTAAGGAATAATTTACCCCATACAAGAGGTTGTCCTGTCCATTGTCATGTTCTTCATATGAGATTCATTACTTAACTCCTTATGCCCATCTCCTCAGGATTCATTCCTGGTTCATTCAAATCCATTTTCAACACATCCACTGATACTTGGAGCTATCATCGGACACCCATTCCTAGCCTACTACAGGTATTAGATTTATAATTTACGCTTCACTTTGTCCTTAAGCCCGTATATATATCTAAGAGGATACAAGAGATAACTTTAGCTTTTCCTCAGATAACTACCCCAACTGGCGTTCAAGCTATCATCTAGACAGCACTATTATTTACAGCATTACGAGGTAAAAAAAAATATATATATATATTTTATTTTACGTTCTCGTTCCGAAACATTTTTAGCCGCCCTTAACCACCTGTTTTATTTCACAAACTCTACGTTGAAAACTCGTACATCAAACAAATAGGTACGGTCGCACTACTATTACTCCCCCCGATTCAAAAAAAAAACAAAAAAAAAAAACAGGGCGGTCAACTGGTGATATTAGCGTACGGCCCCTAGCTAAAATATTGTAAATTAAAACGGTTCCTTGGAGGCCAACACCCATCCTCATCGGAGGTATAAGCCCCTCGGCCCAACGCATAGATAGAGTCTCACAAAAACCACCCTTGGTTACCAGTTAGGGCCTCACCTGTCACAGCCAATTTAATCCTTTTTCTTGTTACAGTCACCGAGAGGCCAACGTTCCCGCCACATCATTAAAGTGGTCCCAATCCAACCGGCCCTCCGCATAGATAGAGCCTCTCTCGCCACTTGGCACTAGTAGGGCCTCACCTTCCTCATAGAATAGATAATGTTTCGCCTGTTGGCATAGCTAGCACCAGTTGACTCAGGCAACTTCGCTCATTATCAAACTCCGTCTCTTACCCTGTTTTCAATTTTTAGTATGTCTCAATCCCATGACCAAGAAGAAGAGCTGGCCATACCTGAAACCCCAACCAGACCTGCAACCCCGGCGGGCCCAAGCACACCCACCGAGATCCTAGAATCAGCCAGCCCATACGCTCTCAGGTCATGGACCATCCCCAAGCTCGCGGCCGAATTACGTCGCATGGGGGTCCCGTTTCCAGCTACAGCCCGCAAAGCCGAACTATACAAACTTTTCATATCTAACACGTGTACTCCCCAACCAGGAGTAGTTCTGCATTCGGAAAACTATAACGAGATCAAGGGTCTGATGTCATCCCTCTTGGCCTCAATTACCACGATCAGCGCTAGGCTGGATAAGCTGGAAACCCTGCAGATTACAACAGTCACCTCACCCATACCAACCTTCACTTCAGCTCTCCTCCCTCACGGTAATGACACTCCCTTAAACCCAATACCAAGCACATCCACCCACATCATCACACCTGCACATTTTGTACCCCCGACAATACGCAAAGACATTCTGGAAGGCAAGGACTTAAACCTTGTATCTCTGCTGATCGCATCACAAGATGTAGTGGAAAACAAGGCATATTGCTACGGTGATCTTTCGGTTGTGCTAAAAGCCAGAGATTCCAGGCTCAACCGGAAACTCACCATACCTGAATTCGTCCTTGCCTTCGGCCTCTACCGTGCAGTAATCTGTTCCACATCCCCGCACCGTAGGAAGGAATTGGACTTGAACATGCACAAGTTGGTGGACCTAGGACATAAGTATGGGGGTTTTTCCTTCTATGATTATCATAAATCCTTTTCGGCCAACGCGGCAGCATCCCTAACTCAATTTAACACTCATACCAACTGGAGTAACCTGGATACAGAACTTTTCTGCCGCCATTTCGCTGGCCAAAAACCTCCATCCTGTGCCCTGTGCGCCTCCATCTCACACTCCACCAACTTGTGCCCAGTCGATCCTAACCTTCCTACCACTAGTCATGCTACCTTCGGTTCCTCCACTGCAGAACACAGAGGATTGAAGGACAAGTTGGATAGACCCATAGTATACCTTGGGAAAGCACAGATCTGCAACAACTTCAATTCAGGAAGTTGTGGTTTTAGCTCATGCAGACTGCTGCACGTCTGCTCAATTTGCTTCAGGGCACATGGAAAAACTATGTGCCCCAATCGTCTGTACCCAAAACAATGACTAACCGAAGTTAGCATTGACAACCTGGCATTTTACCTCCAGGCACACCCTTCCCTTCACTTAGTCAACTTCCTCATTCAAGGCTTCACTGAGGGTTTCCACACGGGCCTAGTCACACTTCCCACAGGTATTCTCGAATGTCCCAACTTACAGTCAGCTATCCTTGACCCAATCACCACACAGTCACTGCTCAAGACCGAACTGACTAACGGATTTATCGTGGGCCCCTTCGCTCACCCTCCGTTCACCAGCTGGCGTACCAACCCTATTGGTATTGCCACTGGGAAGTCTAACAATAAAAAAAGACTTATTTACGACTTGTCCGCTCCTCATTCTTTAGCTACCCCAAGCATCAATTCATTAATACCTTCAGAAGAGTTTTCCCTGCAATATACCTCAGTAGACAAGGCCATTCAATCCATTCTTAGGGCAGGAGCGGGAGCCTGGTTGGGAAAAAACGATATTTCCAACGCTTTTAAGCTCTTACCCATCCACCCATCCCTGTGGCATGTGCACGGCATCAAATGGGAAAACAATTACTACTTTGCCACCCGCCTTACCTTCGGAGCAAAAAGTAGCCCGAAATTATTCGACATATTTGCTGACACACTATGCTGGCTACTCCTCAATATCACTCACTGTCCCGCAGTTCTGCACTACCTGGATGACTTCCTTACGATAGAATCACCTCAATCCTCACCAGTTAGTCTCCAGAAGACCTTGGCCCTATTTACAACTTTGGGGGTTCCACTGTCTCCAACAAAGACAATAGGCCCTACCACAAAACTTACGTTCCTGGGTATTCACCTAGACACCGTTACATTACAGGCTAGTCTACCACGGGAGAAGGTGCGACATATCATTGAGATGGTAGAGTATTTTCTGGTGACGGACACGTGTACCAGGTCAGACCTACAATCCTTACTGGGCACGTTGAACTTCGCCATGAAAATTATTCCTCAAGGCCGGGCGTTCATCTCAAGATTGTTGTGCCTTCTCCCGTTACTCAATACTGACTCCAGCACGTTATCACTAGATGCTCATGCCAAGGCAGATCTACTCATGTGGCTACGGTTCCTAACTCATTGGAATGGGAAAGCCATGTTTATCACTCCTTTATCAGATTCCTCACCTGTCATCTGGACCGATGCAGCAGCTCACACTGGGTTTGCAGCAATCTATCGCAATGACTGGTTCAGAGATTCATGGCCAGTAGAAACCCTAGGTTTGCCCTCATTTCCCACTACATCTGCCCTATTCGAGATCTACCCGATTGTTGCAGCCGCCAGAGTATGGCGGGGGAAAGCAGTAAAATGCTTTTCCGACAACAAACCAGCCTGTGACATAATCAACAAGGGTAGATCCTCCTCACTCACCATCATGAAATTGATCCGAAGGCTAACTTGGTTAGCAGCGACACTACAATTTCACATCACATGCATCCACATTCCAGGAAACACCAACACAGCCGCTGACCCATTGTCTCGATTTAACTTACAGGTCTTCTTCAGGACACACCCCACAGCCAACTCCAGACTGGTCAGCACCCCCCCATTCCAAGACCTCATCCTGGACTAGAAAGACTGCTATCTCACAGCAGATATCTAGCCGGAGCAGCCCTATCCACAAACACATCTCGTGCATACAATCGAGCATTTACCATATACACCAAATTCACGACACATCATCAGATAACTGACACTCATTCTCTAGATTCCATTATTGCATTTATTTCTTTCTGCCACCTTAACCTAAAATTATCATTGAACACCATTAAACTATATCTCTCGGGTATACAACATCATATCATCAGTAAAAAGAAAGAAAGAAGAAAGGAAGGCAGCGCCACTATAAACCACATAAATTAAAAGAGCACAGAATAGGCAGACTAGAATGCAATATATATGATAGATAATAAGCAAATAGAAGTCCAGAATAAATAGTCTGACTGGTAGATGAATCAAACAACGAGGTATTTCTTTGTAGAGGTGAATACAGTCTTTTGTAGTGGGGGATTCTTCAGAGTGGTGTAGATGCGTCTTTGTACATCATATGAAATAAAAAAATAACAACTGATGGTGAAGTATGTCCCGAAAGGGGTAGAAGCAATAAAAGAGTATATGGTCCTACTCACGTTTTCAAGAGCTATGGACTTAGCTCTAGTGTTGATAACGTACAGTGGTATAATCCCCACTTATGGGATACGTGAGGTCTTAGTATTCTTTCTTGATTAGGTGACCATATGTGGAAATAAAAGCAGGAACAACAATGGTGCTCAAAGTATAAAATGCCAGAGGTGAGAAGATAAAAAACCAAGTGGTTACTCACATTTAGTTGAACAGACTGACTGTTCAATGAATACAGCTTGAGTGGTATAAATATATATTTTAACTACTACCCAAATATCGATTTTAACTAAGGGCCTCAAATTTGCACCTACCAATCCCTATCAACCATTCCAAGCCTTTTTAGATTTAAATAAGTTTGTTAGGAAAGCTACATTAAAAAGATTTTTTAGCAGCAGAATTGAGAATCAATCTATTAACCAGGCACAGACCAACTATTCCCCCACACCTCCATGTATTAATGACGAGATACCAGTGAAAAACACCACCCTTAAGAATAACTCTAATTTTTACCCATCAAGTTTCAAATCTGGCCCGATAGAAGTTTTTGAGAATTTGGTAAAGCAAGACTTAGAAAAAATTAATACCTCCAAAAATAACAACCACAAATATCATAAATATAACCAATATAACTTAACCTTTCAAGAAAGGAAAGCTCTCACAGATCTTATAAAAGATGACACAATAGTCATCAAACCAGCTGATAAAGGGGGCGGCCTAGTTTTACTCTCACAAGAAATGTACATCAAAGAAGCATTTAGACAACTTAATGACCCCAAAGTATATGACAAGCTACTATCAGACCCAACCCATACCATCCAAAACTCCCTTATATCATTTTTAACCAAAGGCTTAAATTCCAATATCCTAAACAAAAAAGAATTTGCTTATTTAAATATACCTCATCCAAAAATTCCAGTTATATACTTTTTACCAAAGATACACAAGAATGAGACCAATCCACCAGGTAGACCTATTGTCTCCGGGATCAATTCTGTTTTATCAAACTTATCAGAGTATATTGACATTTTATTACAACCATCAGTCAGACTTATGAGGTCATACTTAAAAGATTCCATGTCTCTCTTACATTTTTTAGAAAATTTTACCTGGCATCCAGATTTTATTCTAGTCACTTGTGATGTCCAGTCTTTGTACACCATAATCCCCCACGAATTAGGGTGTGAAGCAGTTTTAAATAGATTAAAAACGGATAATAAAATTCCAGAAAACAAATTAATTTTATCTTAGAAGGGATAAAAATGATTTTAACAAATAACTATTTTTGGTTTTTAGACACTTTTTACATTCAAAGACAAGGCACAGCTATGGGTACTAGGTTTACACCAAGTTATGCCAATCTTTTTATTGACAATTGGGAGTCTAAAGCAATCTGGGGAGATCACCCCTGGAAAGCAAACCTAGTATCCTATTTTAGATACATAGAAGACTTGTTTTTTATCTGGAAAGGTCCTGAAACCTCACTTAAACTTTTTTTAAATCATCTAAACAACAACAATAGTGGCATCATTTTAACATCAGAACACAGCAAAGATTTAATAAATTTTTTAGACATTCAAATTTTTATCCAGGATGGGAATATTAACACTAGAACTTTTTTTTAAAAAGTGTGCACCAACACAGTCATTGACAGATCAAGCTGCCACTACCAACCATGGTTAGATGGGGTCCCTAAAGGTCAGTTCCTACGTCTTCGCAGGAACTGTTCCCTTAATACAGATTTTGACGAACAAGCTAGAACACTAGAAGCTCAATTTATCAGTAAAAATTACCCAAAAGAAAAGCTAGAAGAATCCCTCAAAGCAGTGAAACAAAAAGAAAGACTCGAGCTTTTAGAATATAATACGAATAAAAATAAAGACCCACCATCCATGCCGATCATCTTTAACTTTGACAATAAGAATAAAATTGTGAAAAAAACTATTCAAAAACACTGGCACATTTTAAAACAAGACGAAATTTTAAAGACACTCATCCCAGATAAACCCCATATCATTTTTAGAGGGGCCCCAAACCTAAAGACAATGCTTACTAAAAATTATACAAAAAAAGCCAATACAAGCAATCCATCATTTTTATCAAATTCTAAAGGTTTTTTCAAATGCAACAGATGCATTGTCTGCAGATCCACTGACCAAAACAGCACATCAAAGACAACACAATTCACCTCAAACAAAACCGGTATTACATACCCTATTAAAGACTTAATATGTTGCACTACTAAGAATGTTGTATACCTATTGGAGTGCCCATGTGGCCTCCAGTATGTGGGTATGACCACACGATGCTTAAAAATAAGGTTAGCAGAACATTGTAGAAATATTATCAAAGGCTACCCTAATCACTCTGTTTCAAAGCATTTTATCCAACACAACAAAGACCCTAAATTTTTAAAATGTACTGGGATCTAAAGATGTAAATTACCTTGGAGGGGAGGTGACCTCAAAAAATTATTGGGACAAAAAGAAATGCACTGGGTGTTCCTTTTAAAAACCCTTACCCCCGAAGGTCTTAATGTAGAGTTCGACCTGTTTAATTTTTTATAATTTTTTATAATATATTTCTTATATTTTATTATCTTTTATAATTATTTTGTGCATGAAGTACATATTTATACAATGTGACTTATATACGTGACTGTTCTATTTAAATAATATGCAAGGTATTGTGAGTATAAAACCTTGTTTTTAATTTAAATTTTAGACTATCACATGTCTCCAATATTGGTTTGTATTCACTGATACATATAAAGTTTAGCACTTTTGAAAGAGGAAAAAAAAATAAAAAAATGGCCACCGATCATGTGACTGTTGTATCTAAATAGAATATGTAAGGTATTGTGAGTTTAAAACCTCGTTTTTAATTTTAAACTATCACATGTTTTACATATAGGTATGTACTCACTTACACATATAAAATTTAGCACTTTTGAAAAAATAAAAAAAAAATAAAAATTATGACATCATTTTGGCGCCATTTTCTAATATGTTCACTGCCTATATAAACCTGTATGTAACAGGATGTACTTTCTGATCTCCACTTGATAAAGCCTAAGGGCGAAACGCGTTGTGGTTTTTTAAACTATATTGTTTTAAATAAAGGTATTTTGGCCACTTTCTTACTGTGAGTTAGCCATCTTACTTTTTATTACTATTATTATTTTACTTTTTTATTACTACCATCCTTTTATCCGGCACAGAGGTGTTTTTACTTTCCAGTGAGGATATTACTCCCAAGAATCCTAGGTGGGGATTATACCACTCAAGCTGTATTCATTGAACAGTCAGTCTGTTCAACTAAATGTGAGTAACCACTTGGTTTTTTATCTTCTCACCTCTGGCATTTTATACTTTGAGCACCATTGTTGTTCCTGCTTTTATTTCCACATATGGTCCCCTAATCAAGAAAGAATACTAAGACCTCACGTATCCCATAAGTGGGGATTATACCACTGTACGTTATCAACACTAGAGCTAAGTCCATAGCTCTTGAAAACGTGAGTAGGACCATATACTCTTTTATTGCTTCTACCCCTTTCGGGACATACTGCACCATCAGTTGTTATTTTTTTTATTTCATATGATGTACAAAGACGCATCTACACCACTCTGAAGAATCCCCCACTACAAAAGACTGTATTCACCTCTACAAAGAAATACCTCGTTGTTTGATTCATCTACCAGTCAGACTATTTATTCTGGACTTCTATTTGCTTATTATCTATCATATATATTGCATTCTAGTCTGCCTATTCTGTGCTCTTTTAATTTATGTGGTTTATAGTGGCGCTGCCTTCCTTTCTTTTTTCTGTACCATTTCTGTTGTAAGGCCTGTGAGGGAGCCCTACTTTTTAGGTGTGCTGCCACTTTTTACTTATTTATTATTGTTTCTGTTGTATTTTGTATAGATAGAGAGCGCTGATCCCTTTCTTCTATCATATCATCAGTGCCTACCCTAGTTCTAAACCCTTCATGTCTTCCTATCCCGTGAAAAACATATTAAAAGGCATACTAAGATTAGACTCACCCACTACCTCTGCCAGACTTCCGATTCGCGCACTCTCCAATATCTTGGACTCCAAACCTTTTGAAACCCATACCAACCTAGTTATCAAGACAGCGACTTACCTAGCTTTCTATGGGTTTTTACGACCAAACGAGTTCACCACCAATAGTGTTTCATGTCAAAATCAACCCCTCAAAATTACAAATCTCCAGAAACACACAGATCACTACATACTCACCTTAGGTCACACTAAAACCAATCGAATAGGCCCACCTACCAAGATCTGCTACTATCCCACCGGCAATCAGTGGTGCCCCGTCGTAGTATTTGACACCTTTTTGGCTACTCTCACAGGTCTCAGTCAAAACGCCCCACTACTCTCATTGCAAGGTTTCCCCTTAACAACTGCCAAGTTTATTCAGTACATCAGAACTTTGTTCATCGGCCTCAACCCTACAGGGTTTTCTGGTCACTCGTTCAGAATTGGTGCGGCTTCGGCAGCCTCAAGTCACAACGTACCCTCTCACATAATTAAAAGATTAGGCCGTTGGAAATCTGCGGTCTACGCCACTTACATTCCACAACCAGAAATAGAACTAAGGTCCGCATTCAAAGGTCTTGCTATGTAACCATGCATAATAAAGTGAATTGTTTACTCCAACCTTTTTGCCCTCTTTTATTACAGGCCTACCCCATACGTCGGTTTCGGCACACCACAAGGCTTTATATACGCAAGCATCTCGATACCGGGTCCCAGTGGAACGCAGATCTGGAAACTAAGTGGAACGCACGCAAAGAAATTCACATCTCTTCCATTGCATCTCTATCTCCAAGCCAGCCGGAGGGAGGTTTACCACTGTACCATTGTTTTCACTTGATTCTGTGGACTCCAAGTACCCTCGATTTTCTTGATACCATTGCACCTTTGTGAGTGTATTTTATCTTTCTTTACAAATAAATAACCAGGTTTTTAATTGAGAGCACTATGGTTGTTCATTTTGTATTACAGATTACAGAGAAGATCTTGTCATTTTAGATCTGTATCTGTGATCTAAGAGTGACTTTTGGGACATTATACTTTGGGAAACAAGATGTACCGGTACCAGAGTATCTCATACCGATTTTGGTTGTAATATATCAGCTTTTGATCCACCATAGCTTCTGTTACTTTACAATAACAGTAGTGTATCTTGATAGATAACATAGTTGCTAATAGACTCTGCTGCAATCTATCATATAAACTGTGGATTTACAGACTTTCACTGGATGATATTCACACGAAGACTCTAGATCTCAAGTGGGACTAGATATGATTTCCCATGTGTTTGGCTATTTTGCCAAAAGATAGTCCACTTCTAATCTATTCATAGATTCACTGCTTAGTTAGCAGGTCCCATTTTTCTCCTTTCTTTTCAATTTGAGTCTGTTTGTAGGGGCAGCACCTTTCCTGTACATTTCCGATCTAGTCCATGGTGCATTATATGTACTTCCAGTAATATATATATATATATATAATATATATGGTACATATGGAATAGGGATCCAGCTTGTATCACTAAAACATAAATAAAAAATACAACATAGCGTAATACTGTTGTGGTCTTATTAATTGCCTAATGGTTCAAGGTTACACTCACAGATTTGTTGTATATAGTAAGCCTTCAAGTTGCCACCCCTATAGGTAGGGAGGTAGGTCCTGTTCGTTTGTAGTAATGCCAATCTGGAGACCAAGAAGTTCACACTCTCCCAATGGTTGAAAGTAGAAAACAATGGATTTATTGGCATATAATAAAATAAAATTAAAATATGGTTCTACGCGTTTCATTACCCTTAGGAAACTTCTTCAGGAACCAAAATATAAAAAACATACAGTTTATACACTCCAAATACTAACAAGTGTATCCATACGCCTATTGCTTCCCTCCCTTCCCTTCCCTTAAATACAATAAGTGCTGGAAGTCCATTGGTGGTGTGATGGGCGTACTCTCCTTTTCCTCTTCTGTTGGACATCTCATCCATTGGTAAATTACCTCCATCTGTTGTTTCAGCTGTTCTGATTTTCATTCCGTTTTTTTTAAGTATCCATTTCCGATGACACACTTCCTGTATGGGTCAGTGTCTTCTTTTTATGATGCACTTCCGTTTTTTTTTTGTTTTGTTTTTTTTATTATTTAAAAATGGCCATGCATTCCATTTTGTTCCACTTAGAACTTATGTTGCCATCTGGTGGTCGCCAGAAAGTTATACACTTTGAGCATATTTATCAATGATTTCATTATATGCAAAAAAGATAAAAAAATGCCAGAGTTGAATTAACAATTCATTTTACAATTAAACATATAAACTTTATTCCCATTTTATTCACCAACAAACAATGGTCCAATTTAGTTATTATAAAACTAATTTGATCTATATGATGGGTGTTGTTCATTTTATACTTCCCGTTACAGCACCTGAGGTTCCTAGTAGGTCTCCCATACAAGTGCTAACCAGGCCCGAGTCTGGATGGCTTCATAAGATCTGACAAGATCAGGCACTTTCAGACTGATATTGCCATAGATTTTTATTCCTTATTTTAATGTTGTTTATCAATATATACTTTTGTGGACCATTGTGTATTGGTGTATATTTGGGCTTCACATCACATATATTTCACCCCAAACAATAGAGCCAAATTTATTTTGTTCCAGTTATTTAGAAGAGGAAATAAAACGAAAATAATTATTTTTATATATACATATATCTATTTTTTCCCCCCAAATTGGTTCTTTGATGAGTTTTTCAAAATTGCTACATAATTCTTTTAATATATAATTTATTTATAAGGAAAAGTTATTAAGAATCTCATTATTTTGGTTTATTTGGTCTCAATCCTTTTTCTCACAACGTGAATTGCTCCCCCCCCCCACCCCCCCAAAGAACAGAGCTTTTCATCTCAGGAACCTTTCAATATATATGTTTTCTGTACCATTTATTTGTAAGTTTAGGCTTTAGCTATTTATTAGCTAACTGCTCACTAAGTGCTACCAGGACTGCCTGCAAGGGTTGAACTTCATTATGTCTGTTGCCAGTGTGCACTGTGCACTTACATCAGACAGCATTTTTGCAGAGAATTAACATTAGGCAGCTCGGTATGCTAAGTCACTTGTCCAAGGAGTTCAACTGGCACCATGTACAAAACTGCAACTATTACTGTATGTGCAATGCTTTAAATTAAAATGCTGTACATACAGACCGACTCCTTCTAGAGGTTGGAGTAAGTGTATGTAGCATGTATGTATTTTGCATGTTGCTGATGTATGTTTTACATTGCAGGGTTATGTATTTCCTACCTGTTCTATGTTAAATTTTGTATATATTGTGTATTAATATTGTTTTTGTATTTTGTTGTACCCTAATGTAACAATGCAATGATTTGTGGACCCAGGACATACTTGAAAACGAGAGAAATCTCAATGTATCTTTCCTAGTAAAATATGAAATGTGGGTAAAGCCTGTGTAAGTTGTTTATGTGAAACATGTTTGTTATTTATTTAAAGCACAAAAATGTATCTAATATATCTATGTAATGTATGTAAAGCATGTATATGCTATGGTTGTAGAGTATGTATGTGATATGCATGTAAAGCACATGAATGAAATGTGTGTATCATATGTGTTTTATTGTTATACATTTGAATGTGTTATGTGAAATTAGATGTATTTATGTTCATGTGAAGACTGAGTATGTAGTGTATAGTTATATATGGTTAAATTGCTCAGATTGCAAACCCATATTTTAGCTGCTGCCTGAGAAGACAGAGAGGGTTAACTGAACTCTAAAGGCACCCAGAACATTTAATCTCAGTGAAGTGGTCTGAGTTTAGTGGTGGGATTAACTTTCTGGCATTTCGGATCTTGACTGCCTGTATGGGTGGGACCAGTCTGATATGCTTCAGATATGTTCTCTCTGTAATGGCACAAGTGAGCAAAATCTATTTCTCTCTAAGCTTTTGTCCATTATCAGAGTTCTCATTCTTTCTTTTTTGCTTTAATGCATTAATTTGGCTCACCCCAAGTTAAAAGGGTAATCCAGACGTGGACCACTCACTGTGCCTAGATGGATATCACCTACACCTCACTGACGAGGCCCAAAAGAAGGCCGAAACGATTATCTGGGGTTGCTGTGTCTCTCGTGCAGTGAGGAATTGCTGGCATTTTGGATCTGGACTGCCCGTACGGGTGGGACCAGTCTGATATGCTTCAGATATGTTCTCTCTGTAATGGCACAAGTGAGCAAAAACTATTTTGAGACCTGAGCGGGGATGTACCGAAGGGTAGGGTAATGAGTCTCTCTAAGCTTATGTTCATTCTCAGAGTTCTCATCCTTTCTTTTTTGGTCTGGGTTTAGTGACCTTGTCCACTTAACCCTGCAATGTAAAACAGCCACTTCCAGACAGCCATTCGAGGCACTTCCTGACTTTTCATGAGTTCCAGCCCAGACAGGAAACAGCTCAGTAATAGAGAAACAGGAAATATGATAGTGTCATATTCCTTTAGCTCTATCACTGTGCTGCTTCCACAACCTTACTGTCTCCTACACTCATTATGTAAACCTGCAAAAAGTGTCGTCCCTGCCTCTACCGTTCCTGACTCAAATAGTTAAAATGCTCTATTCTTAATTCTTTCTTGACTGACTAGCATTTATTATGGTAAAATCATATTACTGGATATCTCCAGAACCTTATTGAAATGACGTTCTTTTAATATATGCTTTGGTTACTGTTGGGGCTAAGGTTAGGGATAGGGTTCTTTTAATCTGGCTGCAGAACTGGGACATACATGTCTCTGTCTTCACAATATTAATGGCTGCCATCATTAACTGTTTCTTTCCCTAATACTGAGCTGTCAGAGGAAGAGCTGTTTTTTTAGCTGAAGCAAAGAGCACATCTCCCACTAATCTAAGGACAAACATGTTCAAATGCCTAAATGTCCCTGAGATATGAGTCCCACGTCTGTACAATGTTAGTGACGTGGGGGGATAAAACCATGATTTGCCTGTTAAATAATTTGCAGATCATATAATATATGTGTGTATCTAAGTGTGTGTGTATATAGTGCTCTGCTATTTACCATTACTTTTTTCAAAGTGTTATCCCTTTCCGTAGCATTTAGATGTGAGTATATATCTTTATAGCAGAAATTCAATTACAAAGCATGTTTTTATTTAAACCACATTAGGAGTGTGGAAAGCTTTTTCCAGATAATGTACATAACAATACAATGCTGGCCCCCTCAGGCAAAGAAGGGATTATTGTATTGATTTAAATGGCTCATTCTCATTGCTGTGTTTGCATGACAGATTTGAACTGGGTCTTCAATAGAAGGATTGATCTGGTTTATTTAATTCCTGCAGCTTTCTGCAGCAGGAAATAAAAGCCAGCAGATATAGAGCCCATTCAAATAATTAGGTTTTAGTGACCTCTAAATATCACAAATTAAAATTTTCTTTTGACACAGCAAACTATACTCTTTTGAAATGGCCTGAGTGGGATTGGGTAATTATTATTTTACTATTATTTTATTATTTATATAGCGCCAGCAAATTCTGTAGTGCTGTACAATGGGTGGACTAACAGACACGTAATTGTAGCCAGACAAATGGACGCACAGGAACAGAGGGGTTGAGGGCCTAGGTCTAGCTTACATGCTAGAGGGAGTGAGGTATAGTGACACAAAGGGTATAAGTAGGGCTAATGAAATAGGTTGCTAGAAAAGTATTTTTGACAGTTGCAGGAGAGGAGTCATTGGGGGGAGGGGAATGAAAATCCGCTAACAGTTTAAATTATATGCTTTCCTGAAGAAATGTGTTTTCAAAGATTTTTTTGAAGGACTGGAGACTGGGTGAAAGTCTAACGGAGAGGGGAAGGGAGTTCCACAGAAAAGGTGCAGCCCTGGAGAAGTCTTGGAGGCGAGCATTAGATGTGGGAGTATGGACAGAGCATAGAGGTAGATCTTTGGCACAACATAGGGGCCTCGACAGGACATACTTGTGTATTAGGGAGGATAGGTAGGTTGGAGCAGCATTATGTAGGTACCGCAAGCACCACAATCTTGAGCCCTATATCTAACTGGAAGCCTCCCAACTGACAGAGGGGGGAGGCGTGGGAGGTGCAGGCGGACAGGAAAATGAGCCCCGCCACCGCATTCAGTATAGATTGCAGCGGTGCAATCTGGGAACATGTAAGACCACTGAGAAGGTGATTGCAGTAGTCAAGGCAAGAAAGAACAACGGCATGGACCAGCACTTTAGCTGCGTCTTGTGTTAAATAGGGGCGGATGTAAGCTATGTTTTTGCAATGGAAGTGGCAGGTGGAGACAGACACGGGAGTAGCAACACTTGAATGAGGAAAGACCAGAAGTTCTGTTTTGGACAGGTTGAGTTTAAGGAAGTGAGCAGCCATCCTGTATGAAATTGCAGAGAGGCAGTCAGAGACACGAGTCAAGATGGGCAGAGAGAGATCAGGAGAGGATAGGTAGATTTGTGTGTCATCTGCATATAAATGATAATGGAAGCCAAAGTAGCTGATAAGTGTACTGAACATCTGGCAAAAAAAAAAATATTCTGAAGCATTGTTTGGCAGCTGCTTTGAGGACATTGCATATGTAAAGAAAATATGGAACAATAAAGCTGAATTTATTTTCTTTATCTTGTTTCTATCACATACTAATGGATCAAAGTATTTAAATCCAGGCATCTGTAATTCCAGGATACAAAGTTTTCCCATCTGTACCAAACACAGACTTGGGGTGAGTTTGCTTGGACGTCCACTCCTGGGAAGATTGACAACTGTCTTGAATGTTTTCCACTTTTGAATAATCTTTCTCACTGTAAAATGGTGAACTTTTTGGAAATGGCCTTATAACCCTTGCCTGCAGGACCAGCACTACCATAAGGCAGCACAAGCATCCAACTTGGCGTAGGCCCTGATGGCGCAGGACTTGAGTGATCAGCAGGAGGAGAGTGCAGAACAGCTCTTAATTCCTGCTGGTCTATGCATGTAGAGTGGCTGAGCCCAGATCACAGGAGAGGAGACAGAGGAGGGACGTAAGCTGGCAGATGGGGGGGGGAGCAGGAGGAGATAAGACCACATGGGTGGGTGGGGCTGGCGATATTGAGACACATGGGGGGGCTGGGGATATTGAGACACAAATGGGGCTGGGGATTTTCAGACACATTGGGTGGCTGGGAGATTGAGACACATGGGAGGCTTGGGGATTGAGACACATGGGGGACTGGGGAAATGGGACACATGAAAGGGGCTTGGACAAAGACACAAAAAGGTGGTTGGGGAAAGAGACAAATGTAGGTTGGGGAATTGAGACACATAAAGGGGGCTGGGGGAAAGAGACACATGGAGTGCTGGGTGATTAAGACACATGGAGTGCTGGGTGATTAAGACATAGGAGAGGCTGGTCTGATGAGATAGAGATGACTAATGGTACATGTCAAAGCTGTCCCTTTGCTTTTTATTTTAACTATGAAGCCTTTCATTATTGCAATTTGGAGAAATGAAACTAT